CTGTGCAGATGTCTCTCTCCCGCCATCCACACAGGTCGCCACCAACACAGACACCAGCCGAAATGCGGGCAACGCCGTCCTGTTGGAGACAGTGCTTACCATCATGGACATCCACTCCGTAGCGGGCCTCCGGGTACCATTATATACCATGTGCTCTCCAGCCATGGTTCCACCTCCCCAGCTGGTCCTGGTCACTGGCTTTTCCCCAGCACCCATCAATGGAGGAGATCCCACTCACAAGTGGCTTCTTCTCTGACCGACCCCACCTTCTTCTTCCAATAGGTCCTCGCTGTTAACATTCTTGGCCGTTTCTTGCTCAACCATGACAAGAATATTAGGTAACAACCCCCAGTGTCTGGCTAGATTGTACCACTGTACATCTAGCCCTCTGCATTCCTCCGTCTTGATCCATCTAATCCTTCCCTATCCTGGAGGCAACACAGGATGTCCGGGCAGATGTGACATGGCCTCTCTTACTCCGACCAGGTATGTGGCCCTGACATCATTGCTCCGGCTGGTGCAGTCCGATCACAGTGCTGTACAGCGTCACCGGTCCACCGTGGTCGAATGTCTACAGGAAACAGATGCCTCCCTTAGCAGGTAAGCAGAGGGAGAACAGGGCAGAGGACCCTGCCTGGTGGCTGAAACGCAAACCAGCTTCAAAGCAGCTGGAGTAAGAACTAAAGAAAAAGATGCCTGGGAACAGTGGACCTAGAGCGGGGTAACCTGGGCCATCTGCACGGACACCTGTCTCCTGCCAGGCGGGCCCTGGAGCTGAGCCTGGCTCTGGTGAACAGTTCCAACGTACGAGCCATGATACAGGAGCTGCAGGCCTTCCTGGAATCCTGCCCCCCTGATCTTCGGGCTGACTGTGCCTCAGGCATCCTATTGGCTGCGGAGAGGTGAGGTGCCGAGTGCCTAGGAGTCAGAGGGTGCGGCCTGGGGAGGGAGGGTGACAGGACTGATGAGTCACGTCCCCTAGGTTCGCTCCAAGCAAGCGGTGGCACATAGACACCATCCTGCACGTGCTGACCACGGTGAGGTGGGGGAGTCAGGGAGCTGGGCAGGAGTGGGCAGAGCTCACTGCTCTGACCTGGCCACATCCACCCCCCTCCAGGCAGGCACCCACGTAAGGGAGGACGCAGTGGCCAACCTGACCCAGCTGATTGGAGAGGCCCAGGAGCTTCATGCCTACTCTGTGCGCCGCCTCTACAGTGCCTTAGCAGAGGACATCTCCCAGGTCTCGCTCCCCTCTCCCCAGCTCCAGCCGACCAGCCTTTTCAACACTAGAATTTGAATGCTTTTCCCCAAGCATAGCGGCCGGAAGATGGCCGAGGACAAAGCCCACCTTTCACTTAGGCTTCTGTCCTAGCCCTGATGCCTACTGACTGCAACTCCAGATACAACTTCCTTTAGGCTCCGCATTCTCAACTTTCTAGAATGCCTATCCCAGGCTGTCTTCAGGATCAAATGAGATATATTAAAACTTGGCACATGTATTCATTTCTCTTATTGCCACCAGTGCCGGGGGGATTAACAGGTGCCAGCCGATATCTGTAACTCCCCTCTGTCAGTTTGAATAGAGTGGGCAGCAAGCATCCCGGTTTGCTCCTGAGAGAGCGAGCCTGTCAGGGCTCTGTCATGTGACCAGGCCATGTAGTTTTGATGCTTGCCCACCAGAGGGCAGTAGGACCCAAAATGCCAGGACAGCTTGCTAACAAACTTAACCTTTCCCTCCCTCCCCTACCCACCCCTCCGTCCTTTCACTGTAGTAAAGGGATGCAGTGGGGTCTAGGAGAAAGGAGGCCCCCAACTAACTCAGCAGTGTCTCTTCTCTCCTACAGCAACCACTGGCGCAGGTGGCAGCCTGGTGCATTGGCGAGTATGGGGACCTCCTGCTGGAGGGTAACTGTGAGGACACCGAGCCTTTTCAGGTGAGACCTGAGCAGCAAGAGGTTCACTGGGGAGGATTCGTGAGGACAGACAGGACCTGTGGTCCTGACCTGCTGTCCACACCTGAAGGTGGAGGAAGAGGAGGTGCTAGCGCTCCTGGAGAAAGTGCTACAGTCCCACATGTCCCTACCAGCCACCCGAGGCTATGCTATCACAGCTCTCATGAAGCTCAGCACCCGGCTCCGGGGAGATAACAAGTAAGAAGGGGGTCCCAGCCCTTGAGTGATGTCCCTTCATTGTGGCTACTAGTCTTTGAACTCTCCAGGCACACGCCCCTACCCCCCCACACACCCCTAGTCCTTAGGAATCTGCTTTTAAGCCCGGTATATTAGATGTCTCCTTACTCTGTGAGGCTGCTCCCTTCCCTCTCATCCTGGAGGGGAAGAGCAAGCCGCCTGCCCTTGCCTCTCACACGCCACGCTGTGGCCCAGTCGTATCCGCCAGGTGGTATCCATCTACGGGAGCTGTGTGGATGTAGAGCTTCAACAGCGGGCTGTGGAGTATAACGTACTCTTCCAGAAGTATGACCACATGAGGTATGTCCAGAAACCCACATGTAGAACTCCAAACTCTATCCTCTCCCAGGGCTCCCTTCTGGATACGAGAGTGGAAGCTTGCTCTGTGGTGAGCATCTCCCACCCATAGTTGACACTAAGCTGGTTCCTCATCGGTTGTCTAAAGACCAGCAACAGAGCACTGTCTTAGGAAACCAGAATGGGGGCTGAAGAGATGGCTCAGAGGTTAAGAGCAGAGGTCCTGAGTTCAATTCTCAGCAACCACATGGTGGCTCACAACCATCTGTAATGAGATCTGGTGCCCTCTTCTGGCGTGCAGACATACATGCAGGCAGAACACTGTATACATAATAAATAAATTTTTTTAAAAAAGGAAACCAGAATGGTGCATGCAACCCTGCATGCCCAGGGCCTTCTATATTCTTAGTCTTCTTCCCAAATGCTTCTCTGAGAGCACAGGGCTCACACAGAGGGACCCTTGCATTCCATCCTCTCAGGGCTGCCATCCTGGAAAAGATGCCTCTCGTGGAGCGCAGTGACCCTCAAGTTGATGAGGGACAGAAGGAAAACAAAGCAGGGCCCCAGCTCTTGGAAGCAGCAGCGCCTGTCCCCACCGAGCCCCAGGTGAGGAGGCTGGAAGACCCGGGTAAGGAGGACTCCTGTGGGTGCTCACGCCTGTCATGACCCTCCTGCCCTTTTCCCCAGGCCACTAAGCTCTTGGATCTGCTTGATCTCCTGGATGACACTTCTGGGCATGCTCAGCATCTTCCACCTCTGGAGCCTTCCCCAGGGGAGGCCTTAGTACAGCTCCTCGACCTTCCCTGTGTACCTCCACCCCCTGGTAAGCCTCTGCAAAGGCAGGTACTTTACAGAAGGTGGGTGGAAATGTGTCATTTCTCGTTCTGAGCCAAGGACGGAGACACCCATCTCAGTAGGCAAAGGTTTCGTTCGTTCCATGCCCGTTCCATCTTGCTTCTCTGTACCGATCTCCCTCGTGTTTCTTATCCCAGTCTACGCTCCTGTTTCTGCTCCAGGCTGTGTCAAATCACTTCCGACTACCCAATCCACTGGCCCCTGCCACTCCCCGCATTCTTCCACCTCAAACACTTGACATTTCATGCTCTCTACCCAACACCTCAAATGACTAGCTCATACGCACTGTTCAGGCTTCAGCTAAATGTCAGCTGTTTTACCCTCCCTCTCCTCTTTAACTTAGTCCTTCCCTGTTACTTTCGACTTTTTGTTCCTAACATCATGGCGATGATCATCTCGCATTTTGTTGTTTCTCTCCTCCCCGCCTCCACTAGGTGGTCGGCTCCCACCTCAGCTTGTCTAGTTTCTCATTAGATCTGGTCACCAATGCAGGGCCAAGATTCGCTTGTTCCGTTTTTTTTTTTTTTGTTTGTTTGTTTTGTTTTTTCTTTCAAGACAGGGTTTCTCTGTGTAGCTTTGCGCCTTTTCCTGGAACTCACTCAGTAGCCCAGGCTGGCCTCGAACTCACAGAGATCCGCCTGGCTCTGCCTCCCGAGTGCTGGGATTAAAGGCGTGCGCCACCACCGCCCGGCCACTTGTTCCGTTTTTATTGGACGACTGGATGCATGTGGTGTGTTAACCTGTGCACTGGGCTGCCTCTCTCCCATCCAGCTCCCATCCCCAGTCTCAGAGTGTTCGAGCGTGAGGGCGTACGGCTGGACCTTTCTTTCATGCGGCCCGTGGAAACCCCGACATTGCTCTTAGTCACTGCCACCACCACCAACTCCTCAAGGGAGGATGTTACCCACTTCGTTTGCCAGGCAGCTGTGCCCAAGGTTTGAAAAAATGGGGTTCGGCCAGGCGTGGTAGCTCGTGCCCGTAATCCTAGAACTTGGGAAGCTAAGGCGGGAGAAATCACTGTTGGAGGCCAACCTGGACTGCATAGGGAGTTTGAAGCCAAGTTGGGCTAGTTGTCACAAAGAAAGAAAAAAATAGGGGTTCAGAGGTGGCACAGACACTCTAGGAGAAAAGACCCGAAAGTAGTGGAGTTGGGTGGGAGGCAGAGTGAAATGGGAAGGGGGTGATGGAGACAGTCATTGGGGAGTTATCCAAAAATGTTTGGGAGCCACTGGGTGTAGAGGACTGCCTGAGCCCAACCGGAGGCCTTACTATGCTCTGCCCAAACCTCCCATGCACAGAGTTTCCAGCTGCAATTACAGGCCCCCAGTGGGGACGCAATTCCAGCTCAGGGTGGCCTTCCTATCACCCAGCTCTTCAGAATCCTCAATCCTAACAAGGTGAGTGGTCAGACCCTGTGGACAAGAGAGATGGGGGCAATCAGGGACCTAACCCTGGTCTCCGCTTCCCTACTTTTAGGTAACTCTGCGGCTAAAGCTGCGCCTCACCTACAACCACTCTGGCCAGCCAGTACAGGAGATCTTTGAGGTGGACAACTTGCCTGTGGAGACATGGCAGTAACTTGCTGTGGTAGTGTGTGGCCGGGGTGTTTCCGGGCTCTTGGTGTCTTATTCAAGGAATGGAAATAAAGATGTACATAAATTGCAAGTAGCAAGGCAACTTTATTCAAAAGCGAAGTGACAGTACAAATCAGAATACACCGTGAAGAGCAGGGGCCACAGTACTCAGGGCCCAGGGTCACTGCCTGGTGCTGCTCTAATGGGGTCTTACGGGAAGGAAGAGGTCATTGCCAAGTGGCATAATTTGAATGGTTCTCTATTTTGATTGACAGGCTTGGATTCTGTAAGCCTTTCTTCACTGTGCATGACCCCTCCCATGATGCATCTGATTTTAGTCATATGCTCATTCTACATAGGCACAGGACGGTAAATAGGAGATTTGCCTTAAAAGTTCACCTAAAGGACATGGTCTACCTTACCCTGCTTGTACCCAAAACCCGTCTAGGTCCAATCAGCTCCCTATTTTCCATACTCGGGTATGTTCTAAAATGTTTGAATACAAACTGTCCACAAAAGGGGAGAGTTTTTATGTCTGCTGGGGGAGGAGAGGCTTATTCCATTGTCTGAAGTGGGACATAAATGTAACTCAGGACAGGTGGGAGTCCTAGGTGTGTTGTTAGAAGGATGTGTGTACACAGTACATGCAGGCGAGGATCCCAGGATGCCAAGTGCACTGTCGGATGAGAGGCGTGTACAGCTCAAACCAAGTGGAGTTCCAGGTTGCCTAGCTGGGGCCTAAACTAGCCTGCCTCATAACTGCCACGGCTCACCTGAAATCTTTCTGCACCCTCAGCTGGGAACACAGCCCTGAGGGCTGACAGCAGGTGGCACTCTGGCCCTGAATTTGTCACCACAATCTGAAGAGACTGCCTCCTGCCCGACAAATAATGAAAGCCTATGAAACCTGAGGTGGGCAGAAAGGCATATTTTGACCTAGTGAGAAAGAAAGTGAGTAGGAACAAGGGTAGAGCCTTCTCCACAGAAGTATGATGTCCTGAAACCCCAGGAACCTGTCTCAACAATGACGATTTTCTTTCTACCCCTCTCTGGGTTGGAGAGCAAAATTTATCTCTAAACTGCCATACAGGGCACTCTACTCTCTGGTCACAGTGACAGACCCAGCAGAATTTCCAGATTTCGAACAGAAGTTCCCAACCATTCCTCCACCTTGTTTCTATTCCCTACACCCCAAGGCAGGGAAATCCCTGCCGCTTCCCCGCATCTCTAACTCAGCTGTAAGGCGGCTTCAGAGCTGCTGGCAGAATCAATGGCATCGACCACGGGAGGGGGGGGTGGCAAGGGATTTTCCTGTGCTTAACTACTGATCACGGCTAAGTGGAAATCCTATAAACACGAGCGGAAATCAATGGAGGCTGCTTAGCGGCCAGGGGAGAGGGGCGGCCCACAGATTGCATCTGACGGATGAGGGAAGCGGTGAGGGAGGGCTTGAGGAAGGGTAGCTGAGAAGGGGTGAAAGACCCGGCAGGACTGGGGACAAAAGCAGCTCTGTTGTGAGGGAAGGAGCACAGTGGGTCCAGGAGTGGATGGCGGCTTCCGAGAGTCCCCTTCCCTCCTAGAAAGTGAACCCTGCTCCCATAAACTGCTGTCAGGATGTTGAGTCCCCTGTGGCTTCGCCGGAACTGTTCGCTTCCAGCAGGCGCTGATAGTCCAGAGGCCTGAAGAGCTGTAGGTATACCATGAGCTTGGCGGGTGCCTTCTCCTGTGCTGGCACTCCTGTGGATGAGGACCATGAGGAAAGAAACAAGTGCAGCCATTAAACACGCTTTCACTTTGCTCCCTGCCCACCCAGCCAGGACTCCAAAGCTGGCAAAGCAGTACCAAGAATGCAGATGCCACCCAAGCAGCTTCTCTAAGCCACCCACTCCCTTGTTGGACTGCAGAGGTGAGACCCCAAACATCTACTCAGTTGGTGGGGCTGGAAAGCCACGCATGAGCCTCTCCTCCGGCAATGAGGAGTGCTGAGGAGGCACCCTGTGCCGTGAAGACAGGGAACCAACTCCTTTCACTTCTCACCCCTCTCTCCCAATCGAGATTCAAGCCCAGCTAGGCGAGCCAAGGAGCTTGGCAATGACGCATGTGCAGTGGAGTACAGAAGAAAACCAAACGCTGTGGGAAGTAAAGGGAAGCAGGGACTGTGGAGTGGCGGTCACAGGGCTCGCTTCTAACTATTGCCCGTATTGTTAATGGACACTGGCGTGCTGACCCGTGGCAGGAAACTCCCTGTGTGGTCTCTAGGGAGGGTCAGCCCTCTAGGGCTGTCAGGACCTAAACCTTAAGCGTGGGGATGAGCTGTCTCTATCAGAGCTAGGCATGGAAAAAGAAAAAAATCTGCCAAAGTCCTCCCCTGCCCCATACAAATGTAATGTTCCTGTCGTTCCTCCAAGCCAAAAGCACTGTCCAGAGGGTGTGGTTCCCTACACCTGGAATCCCAGCACTGGGGTGGATCACAAGTTTAAGGTCTTACCTGGGCTACATAGAAGACTGAAGAAAAGGCCAAGGGAACAATGAGGATGTAGGAAGTTGAAAGAGAAAAATGGAAGTGTGTGGGAAGGATCAAAGCAGAGACCCGATAAGCACAACTGGGGGATTAAATGAGGTGATAGCTAGGAGAAAGAATGGAGACAAGAAGTAAATCCAAATTAGCTCCTATAGAATAGTAAATGATTTACAGCAGTGTAAACAAACTGGAGCTTTGAGAAAGTCGCCTCCAGTGAGGTTGGATGAGAAGCAGGGACAGCATTAAAGAGCTTGTCTCCCTCACCAAGCATGCTGCTGAGCACACACAGAAGGGCCTGTCTCCCTCACCAAGCATGCTGCTGAGCACACACAGAAGGGCCTGTCTCCCTCACCAAGCATGCTGCTGAAGCTCAAGATCTTCTCCAGGGCAGCTCCTACTTCAGCCTTCTCACGAACCATGGCCTCTACCTCACCCACAGCATAGCCGAAGTCTGTCGAATCCAGATCCACTCTGAGCAGTGGCTCCTGTTCATGGGCACCAGATAAGGCCAGCTTCCAGGAACTTCGTGTAGTTATAAAACTAGCTACTTCCTGCAGCTTCAGGGGACCCAAGACGGCAGGCACACCTGCAGCCTCCGGCTCCCCAGTCCCCAGCAGTTCAAAGAGCTGGGCCACAATTGCAGATTCCGATGTGAGTTCCACATACTCATTGTGGGGTCCTGAGATAGCCGCTACTCCAGGGCATTTGAGCTCCCATCCACTACCTTCTCGTTGTCGCAGCCAGTGGTCAGACCGCATAAGGCTTAGCTCAGAAGTATCATAGTAGGTGTCTCGGAAGGTGACCCGGTGTTCCAGGATGCCCCCCAACTCCTGCAGCCTTTCCTCTGTGTCAGGCCCTGGAACAAACTTTCGCTCCACTTCAATCAAGCCCTGGGCCATGCTATCTGCAACACAGTTTGCAAAGAATTCACTGCGTGCTCAAGGGTACAAGTGGTCAGCAGAGACCCCCCCAGTCCTGGATGAACTTAAGAGGCACATACACTGTCTCAGAGCTCTGCCTCAGTGACACAAGGTTCTACTTCGAGATTTCAGCGTGCTGCAATGGTGACAGTCTCCAGTTAAATCCTAGTATTGATACTGTCTTCAACCCAAAAGGCTCCTTCGAAAGCAGGCCGTGATGCTGATGACCTTTCAACATCTTTTCTCTACACCTTGCCACCCAGGCCAGTGGTTCACCGCCCGGAATGTCCTGTCATTCTTCGCACAGCACGGACCAGCTGCACCTCAGAACTCTCTTCAAGACCCCAGGGTCTCCCTCTCCTGGGACCCGGAAATGGGGGAAGGGAACCCACGCTACACCCGCGAGGAATGCCGGGAGCAGTCTCCGGCTCCGGACCTTGGCCCAGGCTCTTTACGCGCGGGTCCGGTCCTAGCACCAGCGGCCATATTAGACCGGTATGGCGATGCCGATGGCAAGCGAGGCCCGAGAGGTCTGTTAGGTTACGTGCGACCCAACTCGGTAGGCAAGAGGAGCGAGACCATCCTCTCGCCCGCTGCTCCTCCTGGATCCTTCCTGGAGCCCGGGCATCGGCCAAGATCTCGAGCCTTAGCGTGAGCCTGGCACCCTGGGCCTGATGCATGATGGGAGATGTAGTTCCAAAGGGCCACCTCACCTTTCATGCCCACCCGTCGCTATGGTGATCAGAAACATGCAATTAGTTGTTGCCAGCGGGACTCTACCTAAAGCTGAACAGGCGGGGATTGGGGGTGGCGAACGTGAAGAGTAGAATGCAGGGAGCTTAGGCTCCAGTCCCCAACCCCTCCCAACGTAAACTGTGGGTGGGCCTGATGAGACACAGCCACTCAGATACTGCAGTTTATGGCTGCCCACTAAGAGCTGGCCACTGGTAATGGTCTGGCGCATGAGTGGAGTAATTCAGTTTAGCCACTTGGAATGTTTTTATGGTTTTATTTATTAATTAATTAATTTATTTTTGACACAAGGATCTCATGTAACCCAAACTAGCCTGGAACTCCTGATCCCCTTTAGAGTGAGTGCTGGGTTACATGTGTGAGCCACCACCATACCCTGCCTCTATCCTGGAATTTTAGAAGGAATCTAATACAAACTGGTACGAATGTTTAGGACAGAGGTGAGTGGGAAACTTTCTATCAGGGGAGGAAGTGATATTTTGAATGTGAGTGAGAGATGTAATGGGGGAGCTGGAGCCATGGTTCAGCAATGAAGTGCACTTGCTGTTCTTAGTAGAGGACTGAGATTACCTTCCCAGCACTTACATGGCAGATCACAACCTAACTCAGTTACAGGGGATCTGACGCCCTCTTCTGGACTCCTCGGGTACTACAAACAAAATACTGAAATTTTTTAAAAAATTAATTCGAGGAGGAGGAGGGGAGAGGAGGGGGAAGAAGAGGAGGAGGAGGAGGAGGAGGAGGAGGAGGAGGAGGAAGAAGAAGAAGAAGAAGAAGAAGAAGAAGAAGAAGAAGAAGAAGAAGAAGAAGAAGAAGAAGAAGAAGAAGAAGAAGAAGAATGTGATGGGACTTTGATTGCTGGAGACCTAGGTGGAAGGAACTGCCTGGGTAAAGGCCCAAAAGCTAGCTACAGCCCCTTGTCAGTATCTAAGCAGACCGTGGCTTGAAGTACAGTTGAGGGGCAGGTTGAAAAAGGCTGTGAGTGAGCGCCAGACTAAGCTGTCCATCTCCAGCAGTCCTTGAGCTGGCTTTGTCAGGAGTAAGAGAAGTTGTCGGGCACACTTCTGTAACCCCAGCCTCCGGGACAGCCGAGGCAAAAGGATCACAGCTTGAAGTGAGCCTGAGCTACAGACTGATTTCCAGGCCATCTTGGAAAAGACAAACACAAAAACAAGCAAAACAAGTAAAAATAAACACAGAAAGACATAGGAGTCACCCTCTGTCTGCTTTTGGAACCAAAGACGGACCCTTAACCTTACCTAATACTGTAGTGCGTTTGTGGACTTTAATTTTGTCTGTGCCTCTGAGTGAGGACACTGTCAACCTCTAGACCTGCTTCCATGACAAGTGACAGGTGCAACACCTGCTCCCTTATGTTTCTGTAAACAACAGGGGGCGGGGGGGGGGGGACATTCTGGGAAGGCCCCTGATTTACAGGCATGGCATTTTGAACATGGGATGGCATTACACAAACTGGGGTTTCTGGTCTACTGGGTTGTATCTTAGAGAACACAGAAAATATCAGTGTTCTCTGGGTCAACAAGAATGAAAAGTAAAGCCAAAGATCTGAGTGGGGAGGAAACATCGCCAGACCCCAACTCTTCTCACTAGCCTGAAGCTCATCTGTTCTTTATCGGACTCTTCAGCAAAACTCAAAGTCGACTGGTTCGCACTGTAGACCATCGCCCTTGCATGCGACTCCACCTCCCCAAGTCTCTGCTTTTTCAATGCTCTGCCTCACAATTATATGAGGATTGAAGTTTCATTAACAAACACAACTGTTACATGGTAGAAACTCAAGATACCGGTTTCTTCCCCACCCTTAATTTCAGGAGTTTTTGCTAGTGTTGTCATTTAAGAAAAATAATGCGATAGTAGCTAGCTTGGACTCTGGAGTCAGGCCACTGAGGTTTGCATAATGGTACTATTACTTATTGGCCCTGCAATCTTGAGCTGGTAAACCTTGGTTTTCTCTACTGTAAGATGAACTCCTGTATACTCTGTTTTAGAATCTCAGAAATTAGAATATAAAGCATTGATCCGAAGGCTGTGGGCAGCTTACAGAAAACAGCTTGTTCTAATAGTGACTTAAAACAAAACACACTAAAGATTTCTGTAAGTGGGATAAAGAGGAGGGACCAGTGTTTAAAGGGACCTGCCCTTTTTGCAGAAATAGGATAGACCCAGCGCCTGAGTCAAGGAAGAAGCCGGATGGCAAGGTTGGCCTGCCCCGCCGCCGGAAGATCCTAGCCCCTACCCAGGTCTTTGCGTTCTGGGACGCGGGTAGACTTGGCGCTAGCCGTCTAGAGAGGGCGGAGGCCTGTAGACTACAGCTCCCGGCATGCACTGCGGCGGGCGGGTCGCTGCACCTGCTCAGTGGGGCTGCCCCGGGCGCCTGGGTATTGATTATTCCATTGTGTGGGACGCCTCGGCTCCAGCCAGTGAATGAGGCGGAGGAGTGAGGGCTAGAAGGAGGAGGGCGAGGAGGAGAAGGAGGAGGAGACAGGGAGCAAGCCAGTGCCCAGGGTGAATCAATGGAAACCCACTCACGAAGCCGGGAAAACACTTCAGCCGCAGCCAAATAGCATTGATTATTTTCTTTCACTTCCCTCACCGCCGTGAATTTATTTATTTTTCCATCTCCGTCCCCGACGCCCCGGAGCGAGCGCTGAAGGGAGGGAGGAGGAGGGGCAAAAAAGGAATCAACACATCGGAGAAGTCCCTTCCAAGAGCCGCCCCCTCCCCTCCCCGCCTCGCGCTGCTTGGCGGCCGCGGTTCGACTCCCGTCCCTGCTTCCAGCTGAGGTGTAAGTGCATCGATTTCCGATGCTGCTGGGTTGGGTTTTTTTTCTTTTTTCTTTTTTTTTTTTTTTTCTCCTCTGCCTCTCACTCTCCTTCCCTTCTACGCTCTTCCGAATCTCGAGATCGAGGAGAGAGGAGGCGCTGGGAGACTGCTACTGGAGGAATCGGAGAGGGACGGGAAGGGGCTGGGGGAGGGGACGCGGACGGACAGACAGCCGGGAAGAAGGGGACAGGAGTGTGGGGAGAAAGGGCGTGCGAGCCGGAATGGGGAAGAGAGGCAGGGGTGGAGAAACGGAGAAGAGAAAGATATGGGCCAGGCGGACAGGCAGAGGCTGGCGAGAGCCTAGACGTACCGCGCCGAGCTGTACCAGGAACGGGGTTCCTGGAGGGAATGGGAGGCTGGGTGAGTGCAAGGGCTCTGAGCTATAGCCGGGAGGGGCCTGCGGCGCAGAGGAGCTCAGCTGGCTGCGGGATGGGGGAGAAACCCGGGCGGGAAGGCTGATGGATGGGCTAGCGCGCCGGGGTGCAGGGTGGAAGCGGGAGTGGATACCTTTAATGTGCATTTTTGCCTGAAGTAGGTGAGGGGAGCCCCATTCACGGTGAAGCATGCCTGCCCTGCTTCTCCTACTACCCCGACTCTCCACCCGCTCTCCTAAGCCCCTCATCATTTTTTGAGCTCTGGACCACGCTTCTCACTGTGCCTGCGCCCCCACTGATCTGTGGTTGTGCCATTTTTCACTTGGCTCCCCACCCCATCTATATCCAGTTCTGTGTGTCACTGTCTTGACTGTGACACTTCTCATCGGAGTGATCCTTACGTGTACCCCTGTCCCTATGTGTCACGCCTAGACTGCCTGACGGGTTCGGCCATCCACCGCTCTCCTTCAGGGTCTGTCTGCACAACGGTGGCCTTTTCAGCTACTTTGGAGTTTGCTTATCAGCCATGATTGTGGTAGTCTATAGTCAGGGGCCTGGAAAGTAGGGGGATGGAGCGGATGTGTCTACCCCCCCCCCATGACTCTGGTGCCCTTTCAGCATGGGCACCACAGCCTTCTGTTCACCTTCAGCAGGGAAGCCTTGGAACTTCTGGCATTGTTGATCACCTCGTTTGCCATGTGCCTCGGGTCTTCAGCGTGTCCTCTGCTTTTCCAGGAGCTTTCCACCACAGACCTCGTCCTTGCTGACTTAATTTTCCTCCCTTCCCCCACTCTACCATTGTATATACATTCTTTACCCACCAGTTTATTTCACCCTGTTTTCGCATCCTTTAGCTGATGAGTTCCCTTGCAGTCTCCATCTTTGTTCCCTTCTCTCCTTGGTCAACCAAAGTTGGGTTTTTTGGTTTGTTGTTTTTGTTTTTTTATCCTTTATCCTGTTATCCAGCATTTTAACCCTAGCAGCAGAAGATGCCACAAGCCAAGGGCT